TAGAAAGTGTGTTTGTATTATTCTGCATAGAACTTGATGCCTACAATTTTAGGTCTTATCGAAGGTAATACATGACAAAGATGATTTTAAAGAGTTATGAAAGGACACATGAAATACACTTAAATTTCCCTTTTGTCCTGAAATTTCTATCGCATATTTTTGTTTGCTCCTGTAATCCAATAAACTGTTCTTTAGCGTAACACTGACGGGGCTCAGTTACTTCTGTTCCTTCGTTTGGGTTCAGCTTTGCATGCAATTATTGTCACAAATTAAAAAAAAATTACACATTTTATTTGCATTATTAGCAATGAAAGCTGTTCTTCTTAAAGAGATTTTTTTTGGCAGAGCCAATTCGTCCAATTATTACAGCCACTACTTGGGCTTTCAGGACCTTGCCATCACCTCCTACACGGTACTGAACTTGAGCAATTCGATCAACTCCCAAAGGGCGTGCCTCTTTCCTGCCTACATATGTTTGTATCAGGTCATGACTAGTTGCTGAGTCGGAACGAGAATAAATCCCCCTTCGGTGTTTGGACGCCACAAATTTGATGATGAATAAGCTACCCTCAACATCTAATAATCCTTCTTATGTCATTTATGCAATAGTCGGTCAAAAGAGAAATCACTCGAACCGAAATTAGACAACGAGAAGACTATGCAATCCACCTCGATTTCGATTACCAGCCTCGATCTGCTGTCGTCTGCTCGTCTTCCATTCAGATCGGTGGCTCAAATCGGCTATAGTTCAGAGGGCAGTACAATTGAAGCTACTATTACTTATCCAAATACATTGTTCCCCTATATAGACCTGTCGAACACACAGCGGAACGGTACGCTTGATACTTGACAGCAAGTACGTCATAGACTCCTGTATGGTTTCAAATGCCTTCACTGTGAGGACATGTCCTGCCTCTTCTAGGGTCCGAAGACGAGGCAGAATGATCGCATTGAAATAAAAAAAAAAAAAACTCAGTTGAATAAAGGCAGCAAAGGTAAGATCTGACATAGGAAAAAGGCTCCTTCGTGGCTATGCAGAGTTCCCTTAGAAATGTGATACCCCAGGGACATCGAGAGTGAGCGCAAGGCAGCGTGAACCATAGGCCAGCTCAGGGTAGCCTATAGAGATAAAGCAGGAAGGCCACAGGCCGATGCAATGCGTGGATAGAGAAAGGCAGTAAAGAGAAGAGGTGCATACGTAGGCCTCGAAAGTCTGAACACTCAAAGAGGTGACACGACGAAGAGAGACGCAGGACTTGAGATCAGGACCACACCCTTTCGAGTGCAGGGTGCAAGGACTGTGGAGGGGCCTAGCCGGACGAATTAGGAACGGGTGATCAGGTAGGTTCTCCAAGAGTGTCCTGCAGGTGGCGGGCCGCCTTCAGTGACAAGCAGTAATAAAGTGCAAGTCGACACTTCTGACTTGAGGGTTCTGCTAGTGTGCTGATTCCTTAGTAGAACGACTTTCGAAGAGGGATGCACCCCTCTGAAGCCTTTCGTGGAAAAAACCCGCCTAAGTCCTTGAATTCGGGTAACGCCGACGTACAGGAGTACACTCCTGTACCGTAGTATTGCGATTTTCTATTTTAACGCTGCAACGCTTGCCGTATGTGTGGGGCTTCAGTGATTGAAATAGCTGAAAGAAAGCTTCAAAATGCGATTGATCAGCGTTGCAGTAAACATATAGAAGTGGTTTGTTCATGTTTATCGTGTGAGGTTTTCAATGGTCGTTCGTTGAGGAATTGGAAAGAAGCATGTTGATACATCTTACAGAAAAACGTATTTGACATTGATTCTCTCTATTCGAATGAATGTAATTTCATTTGGCTTTAGTTCGTTTTTGGCCAAATCGTGACCGCATTGGTAAACTTTGCAATGCTTGATACGATAGATCTCACGACAGTGACCACAGCTTAATTCGGTAGCTGAACCACCTGGCCAACTTAAATGCGAGCTTGTTACTGCTTTAATATTTTACGGCTATATATAATACTTATAGTCTGAATATTGTATGGCTACAGGTATCATGTTAGTAGTAGCTTTCATCTTTTTCAGTTTCTCTATATAATCAATATACTTTGCACGAGAAGTAGACTAATTATTATTTATATTTTAGAATGTACGATACGTACGTTGTCAGATATTTTTCTATCAGTATAAATAAAGGTACTAGATCTTACTCCTGTAGGTCGGCTTTGTTAAAGCCAGAAGCTACGACGCTTATCTCACTGATTGGTACACCCTTCATTTGACTATGCTTTCAGCTATAAATACAAATAGACAAAGAAAGAGAAATTACGGCGCGCTGCATCGATGTTTGGTTAATGTTGTGTCGTTATTTGTTTACTATCAGAAATCTTCGTCCGCTGTCGGCCTTTTTTGTGTTCTTTTATCTTTGGCCAGCTCACACTATGTCCAGTGATCTAACCATAAGGGTAACTAACTATTGCGCTCCCAGGAGAGCGTTGTCGGCTCTCTAGCCTATACCCCCTGTCCTAAAGGATCCCCGTCTCGAAGAAAACAATGGCATGAAGGCAAGTCATGCCGGCTCATATGGGGCATACACACCATGTGTAATAGGCAATGTGCCTATGTTGTTGTCTATATAACTGCTGGAACGGCGCAGCACGAAGTAGCGCCTAGTCGCGATCGCCTATTTTGTTGTCCCCTACAGGCATCGCTCTAGACCGCATTGACCCTGCCTTTTTCGGAAAGCCCTCCTAAGATCCAAGCTCTGGTCGAGTGATCCACCTTCGAAAACAGTTCGGATTCCCTCCCGACTCTATCTAATTTAGTGAGGACTTTTGTATTCTTTCTTCGCTGTTTTGCTTGTTCCCTCTGGATCGTTAGCTATAACATTTCTTTCACTATCCACAAAAGCAATAAAATGCTTTGGCAAACTGCTGAATGCTGCTGCTCCATAAGTCGACAACTGGAAAGCACTGTATGTCCTTTTCGGATGAAACGAAAAGGTTGACCGTGTCTTTCTGCGATGCGGCTTTTCTTCGATCTCCTGAACAACTGGCTACTCCGTATCTTTTCGTCACAAAGATGTTAAAGGACGGCTTGAAGTTGGAAATGCGAATGGAATGCCACCAGCGGCCGCTATACTTCCTTTCCGGCCACCCAATATCACGAATGGCTAGTAAACGTTGAAACTATATTGAACCCGCCTAAATGAGATATTTTAGGTTGACCCCCCGAGACCGTTTACGTCAACTCGTTGACTGTCCAAAGCCTTACTCATATGTCTACAATGTGTTCAGGCTTTTAAAGTATATTGACCTCTAAATTTTTGCCCATTTAAATTTTTCGCCAGTGGACGTATCCTAATCGATAGATAACCTCTTATTCAGTTTTTCTGCTGAGTTAGCCACTGAACAGCATCTTTCAACAACCTATCCTCCCGTACTGCAGACGTGACCCATTACCTATACGATTATGGTCGTAGTACATGGGGCGATGGCAATTCCCATATACATTACCAGTCAGACAGCCCGCTACTATTTTCCTGGTAGAGTCTTGTGATGTTTTCCTGTCATGTAGCTATGAAATGTCTTCTCTACCTGTCCCAGATGTCCATACTTCATGACAGACAGTGAATTATCGAAAACGCACAAAGAAAAAGCTCTTCGTCGTCCGCATGTTTGTCGACCGGCGTCAGTTGTCTCATTTATTGGGAGAATTCTTTATACGAAGTACGGGGTCATTTCTTCTACGGATTCATTGTGGATGGTTATGTTGAGGTGGCAGCAATTTAGTCAGTCAGATTGGCGGCTAGTCGTCCTTATTTCTCTCTTTCAAAATAGTTCTATAGGGCATACTCGTCTATGAAGCTATTGTTTGGTGTTCGATGAGCTAGACGGCGATTTAGGAGTAGTTTCAGGATGTAAGCGGGGAACTCATTTGAGAGCGATTCTCAACGAAAGGCAAAGTCTGATCTGAGCCCCGTATAGGGGCAAATGACGAAAAGGCATAGCAACATGCCGGTATCCTCAACGTGCTCATAAAACACATAAACGGATGTAGCAGTTGCGGAACAAATGGAGAACATCGTGTAGAAGCAACAATAGTCGTAGTAGAACATAAAGGTGAATAGCTTTGCTAGTCGAGTCGAAACACTCGAATTTCCGCCAAATTACACCGCAAATGACTACACAAATGGGCCACATTTTCGGGATAGTTCGGCTGGACCAGCTGTGGGCAGACCGCCGTTGCTTCTCAATGGGGTGCAGCATTTGGTAAGGTAGCAAGTTTTGCCCCCATGGTAAGTCGTAAGAACAATTTGGTACAGAGGAATAGCAATGCGGATAAATCGCGGCGGTTTACGCGTAACAATTAAGAAGCTCATGATAAGATAGAAAGAAATATACGATGATGTATGCTAGATATAAGCATGTGGATTTTTTGAATCGTTTCAACCATTATGGTAGCTATGCACGCTGCTTAATGATGACATGGCACATTTATTTTGGTTTCGTGTAGTGAATCAGTTAAGTGTTCGCTCTAGCCCCCAGCAGCCGGTAAAAGGGGGCCAAAGAAGCTATTTCTTTTCGTTCAGACGATATTCCCGCCGTTAATGAGCATTAAACCAAATGGCCTGCTATTTGTCAGGGATTAACAATGATGTTGCAATGAGATAAATGGGGTACGTTCGCTGAGTTTGCTTTTCGGGATAGCTCTTTCTTTTGTGGAAGGCGATAAACATATAAATAGGAATGCCTAGAGATCCCTGAGATTATAAGGTAATTGAAGTTCTACTCTAAAGAAGGATAATTTGAGCGATAGCGACCGACCAAAAAGACGGAGGGTTGAACCAAGCTGGATGCTTAAGCACCTAGCAAAATTTATCCCTAAAAGGCTGAAAATTTGTCTTTATAGCCACTTTTTCAACTCATAATCCATTAGACAATTTCAAAATGATAATAATAATAACACCAATGATAGTATATTTGGCCCATAAACAATACGCTGTGTAGGATGTCTTTGCTGTAGGAAGTTGAAGAAGTCTAGAAACTATGAAGACGGCCTAAACAATACAACCTCGCTGCTCAACATCAAATGCTCGCTGAAGAGTTTGCCCTCCTGACCTCTTAGTGAAAGCAGTTAGCTTTCAGAGTAAACATGAACTGCCTCCAGAATTCGTGTCACCCTTTCACAGAACACACGACGGAATGGAATAGCAGCAAACGAATGAGGTGTGCATCCTTTATTAGCGAAGTTCTGCTTGAAATCGGTGTCGATATCAAAACAAGTCGGGGTTTTTATTGTATGTTTTTGGTTGCCTTTTTATTTGTTTAGTGCTTAGTTGTAAATTGACCTATGTCTCTCTCGGTACCGCTTTGCGCCTCGTCACTTTTGCGTTGCCCTCGGGGCGCCTATTCGAATCACAATGACATTTGCTACTTTCAATACGATGTTTGTTGGGCAACTGCACGAGTCATAGATTCGCAGGCCACATACGGGGTGATCTAGGGAGAGCTGATGGACTGTCTAAGACAAATGCTCCTGGTCGCTTTCCTGATAACACTTCTTTGATAGAAATAATATGATAGCAGTTTGCGATATTGGCAAGTCTAAAATAGAAAAAACTTGTATACAGTTAAAGGTTTCCATTAGCTGATTGAGGTGTGACAGAGCTTCTCGTCTCGGACGGCGTATCCTAACTCTACGAATGGCGGTGGGTACGCGTATTTATGGACTACAGAAACCGTAAACTAAGACACTTTATAGCGACGTTTTATATATCGCATGCAAAAGATCATAGTATGATTTCTAGATAAAAAAAACTCTGATGAATAACATTTGCATTGAATTTGGACCAACTCAATGCATACTCGGTCTTCTAAGCTTCATGTCATCTTCGTAAATGTCTGCTACTTCATATTCCGCCCTGACCTAAAACTAAAATGAAATGCTTTAACATAAAATAGGAGATGCTAGTCAGCTTCACTTATTCGATGGGGTAACGGTTTGAGATGTTACATGAATTTATTTATCAATTATATTACCCTTGGATTACGGCGGACCAATCTTTGCGTTACGAAAGTTAATAAAACGATCAGTCAGCTGTCTATTTCCAGTGTTTCCGGCACCCGCCCATTGATTACGACAAGCTGAACGTCGCTACTATGACTGTTGGTTAGTAAGTCTTTTTCAGCCTACCCAACTTCTATTGGCATCACTCTAACCATCCAAAAAGAAATAAAAACAGCACCTGGAGATCAATACGATCTTTCCATTTCCTTAAACATTTCTTCCTCAAAAGTCATTATAAATGGCGTCTGTACATGATCAGTTAGTGTGAGTCATACAGAGGGACCGGAAATGGCACTTCACCGCACTCCTTACGCCAGTCTTCGGGAATAAAAGGTTCGATCTTTTTCTTCCACACAGGGAGTTGACAGCCTGCAAGCGTGCAACCTACAAAGAAAGAAAGACCATTTACACTGTCGTATTATATGAATTGACTCATAGCTTTATGCACTATTACACTATTACAACCATTCCTAACTACTATTGGTTATAGATGCACTGTACCAAACCGTGACCGTTGCTGATGTTTGCTACGCTACCTGGTGTTTGTATTAATGACAAGCGTGTACAACAGAAAAACGTAAACCTTCAAGGGTTTATCACAAGTGATTGTTATTAGTGGCTCTATCGCTATGCTGAAATTCACGAGAAAAGGCGCAGCTCACAGAAAAAAAAATTAGATTAGGAAGAGCAATTCTTTAGCTATTGGCCAAGCCGATGAAAACGCATGACAAAACGTCACGACCTGCCTCAGGAAAATGAGGTTTATGTGAAGAAATTTTAAGCAAAAAAAAAGGAACAGGAGGTGTAACCTATCCATGACAGTTTAAAGAACATACCTGACACCAGGAGCGGCAGTAGTTCTCCAGTTTGTGTGTTGTTACGGAAGAACATCTGGATGTAAAATTGCCCAGGGGTACTCTCATGCAACTCGATAATAACAGCTGTAGATGATGGTACATGGAGGCCATTGAAGACACCAAATGCGCTCAGGTAAGCCGCGATCAGAACATCGTGCTGCAAAAAGAGTAAACATTTGTTCAATTCCCAGTTATTAGTTCTACCATTAAGGCATGGCTTGATATTAAAAAATCAGCTGATTTGGACGACGTTGTTGTCGGTAATTCGTAAAACGAAATATAGATGAGTTCTGGTTTTACATTGTAAGTGACTCGGAAGATCGTTTATTCATCAAAATGTAGCCTGAAACAGGCGAAGCCTTTGCCTATCAGGCGCGAATCGCTCAGCATACAAAACCATTTTTCAAATACAGAATACCTGAACTAGTGTACTGCATCCCATTTGTATAAGACATAATAGGGTGGACAAGACGATCAGTTGCATTTACGTGGAATAGAAACTCTTTCAGATTTCTGCTTATGCCAAGAATAGATCATAATTCTATAAACAATACGGTCCCGCCATACGTATTAGACAAATCGATCCATGTAATCAAACGATATAGCTCCATCACTTACCGATGCATACGCGTAAATCTTGTGTTTCGGCGAGTTATTAACGACGTCGTCGAAGTGCATCACCACATCCTTCAGGAGAAGACCAGCTCGAAAACGAATCCTCTGATCCTGCTGGTAGTTGAGTAGGGTAGCATATTTAGCGCAATCCTCCATCTGTTTAAGCGTTTCGCTATCCGCCCACTTCGGAATCTTGAGCCCAAGGTTGCTCTCAATAGTGAGCGTATCGAGAAGATCACGCACGCTAACCCAATCGTTCATCTTCTTACCAGAGTTCTTCTCCAAGTTCTCCATAAGATCCTATCGAATATGGATATACCCATATACTACATTGTTATATATATACATATATAGAAAATAACTTTTCACTCTATGCTTGTCTTGACCCAGTTCATCCACTAACAAATTCATAAGAAACTCCTTATTATGTTTCCCCAATAGGATAGCATACAACTTATGTAGATAGACAACTTGAGTAGAATAGTAGAATGCGTGCGTTAAATTCATTTTCTCGCTTGCATCTCGCGTGCTAACCTTATATTTTGCCATGACCTCTTTGCCCTGGCCGGTGCTACGAAGCTCTTCAATGGCTTCGTTGTCCTTCTGGCAAGTAGCATCTTCGTATAGCATCTGCGGCGTGACACATTGAACAAAGAAATAAAACATCATATATAGTATACTGATAGGTAAATATCGCTGCGTGTCCCTGCTCATAAATTGTCAGAAAGTGCCCCTAAAACGTTGTAAGGCACTCGTAGTGAAAGCCTGATTACCAATAGTGATACTAATAATAACATCACTTCAGCCAAAATTTCGTAGTAATAGCGGGGCGAAATGGGCAACTGGTTGTCATTATTAGTTATTCTAGCTAGGATGGATCTTTCGTCAAGGAGATGCTTTCAGACTTTTACTGAACAAAGTGTACGGCCTTATCTTGAAGCACGTACATGCAGTTTAAAAGCACCATTCCTACTATTGCACTAAAAGGTTGTTGTTTACCTTTAACCATTTAATAATTAATATCGAAATGTGATTGCACATATGCATAAATAATTAATAAACCAAAGAACGACACTAATTGGTTTAATATGATCTACTTCTGTATGTGGTGTACAGCTTAACCAAGATTTAGCTGCACACCATATACATACGTGTACCTAAATATGACCGTACCCCGTCAATGTCGACAGGCATGCTTGCAATCGGCACAGGCTGCCATGCAAGGCGAGGCTCGAACTTCTGATCGTTCCTAGGCTCGTACAAAGCGGCGACCATCGTCTGCATCGATTCAATGCAGCGGTCTCTTCCAGAACTACGGGCCTTAATTTCGTTCGTGTCAAAAGTCAAAAAGTCTTTGTATCGTATGCGGAGTTGATTACCCATTCTATACATATGCTTTTTGCCTTCCTGTAACAAAGCGAATAGAAATTAGGACCTAGTTAGAGACCGACGCCGCACGGAGGAAAATGTTCGCTAGGGTAGGACAGAGTAAGGAGATATCAGACAGTTTACGGGTATTATGGTGTGCACGTTTAGCCACTTCTAAATTGTCTAAAACCCGTTAGATTTCTATGGTCTGAAACGACGCATAGATGTAATGATACTATATCGTGTTTCCCATATCGATTTTTTAAATAGAAACGTTACCGATATTCTGATTTAAGTGTTCTTGGTAGACAACTAATTGTGTGCTTTGGCTATGAATGCCTACCTCCTCGTTACTTCATAAATTTCCTTTGTGGAGTCTTCGTAACAGGGTTCTGCGGAGAATCTCCTTTCGTGAACAAAATTTCAGATAATATAAATTACTTTCACAAGTATTATACGCATATGGATTGTTTTCATTACATCATGAAGTTTACACACGCTCAGCCCGGACAGCTGACCATAGAAATAGTCTAATCTTGTTATTTTTATGAACAAAGTGACGTCAAATGGATGGCTTTTCTGCCCTGTTCTATCTGTTTTCTATTCGCCGTCAGCTCTTTTCCCGATTTTCATCCATAGCTTCCTTTCATTATGATGAAATGAAGATTCCGTGTCAACAAAAGTACCTTGCAAACCGCTAAACAGTAAAATGTCAATGTCTCGTTGCTACTTGCCAACAAATCTGTCATTTCATTAATTAGTATACAAGTATACTTCGCCATCTTTATAAGAACCAGCTGCTTTTCGTTCCCGTAAGGTTATTTGTCAATCTTACCCCATACATTTTTCGTGTGTTACATGTCGCACTGACAAGAGTAGGTATCCCCTCACTTTTGCCGTAAACAGCAGTCGATTCCCATCGTTTGTCTAAAGGGGATTTGAATAAAGCAAAAGGAAAAGCATCCCAATTTTCCATTTGGACGTTAGGGCTTGAATATATTTGAACGGAGACAGTTTTCCCGGACGTTGTCTCCGGGGAGCAAGCGTCACACCTGTCCCCTCGCTCCATTGACAAGAACTCTAGCCCGCCGCTCCGATGTCGAAGGCAGCATGAGAAACAGCTTGGTACACGCTTATCGAAGTGGACGCATATAGAAAGACTTGAATTTTTTGAGCTGAGTGTTCAGAAGTGAAACAGATCCAGGGGGTGGCTGTGGGCGGAAGAAAAAGGAGGTCGGCAGATCAGAATGGCTCCCAAGGATATGCCGCTACTTCTGACTTACTAAAATTTCACTCGTAGATATCCCAAAAGTGAACACTAAAAAAAGAAAGAGAAGTCGAAGGTGCAAAATGCAAAACAACAACCATCGAAGACAGCATTGAGGTGCGGGATGTTGCCTTCATGCTCATTCACCGATGGAGTGAAGAGCAAGATATCTGAGGATATGAATCTGTGAAGCTTCTCACTAACGGGCATCGACGGTGTTACCCAAAACATCACAACTTCAAAGTGAATACGGCACAGCCTGTGTTTCACGGCATGCTCTCATACGAAATGTTAAGGGACGTATGTGGCATGCTACCATTTGGTAGATGTCAACGATTTTCGACTGCGACAATTTGCCATTGAACATTAGCGCTTCTACCTTATCAGAAAAGTGAGAGCTCATAACTGATTTATATAGCTCTGCTACGTAAGCTAGGTCAGTAAATTTAAAATCCTTCATTTCGATTGATTGGCAGCTTGTTCTTTCACTCTTTAGTAGAAATATCTCGATATTTATGCCCTATCTCGACCTATCTAATATATCTTCTATCGACGTAAAATCAAGCGAGAGCTCAACAAAAAGCGAGCTTTTGGGCTCATTCCATAGATGAGTTAAGTGTCCCTTTGCATTTTCCGTATTATGTTGCGGCATCAAAGATGACCGCATAACTTTTACAATCAACCCAGATTACACGCACAACAGATTACACAATCAACAAACAGAGGTAAAACATTGAAAACGCATAACTCAGTCATTGCTGCCTCACCACACACCGCAGGGCCATATGAAACAATACTAATTTCATGACATTAGCGTAAATACTAGTACCTATCGTATAGTAGATGTTTCCGACCTTGACTTGGATCGTCAAGTGGTATTAACACATTAGACACTCACATAGTCCATTCGAGATAATCTCAGAACCAGTATTAAGAAGATCTCTATGGGTTCCGACCTCGTATCACAACATCAATACAGTTACCGCCATCATCCGACAGTTTATATAGATTGAATTAAATCTTTTGATTTCATTTAAAAATAATAGCAGTAATCAACCTTGTTCAACGTTTCTAGCTCCCTCTTATGGAAACAATTAAATTAACGGATTTAGAAAAGAGCAAGGCATATATTGTATTCATTGCCCTTGTCTGATTTACAAGCAAAGTATCTGCTCGTGGAATCGAATGATGCCACAGACCGAGCAAACATTGTTTTTGTGACTTCTCCTCTTTTTATTGTTATTATTATTGTTGTTATGATTGTTTTAGCGACTTCAGGCAAACAGCGCAACAATTATTACAGACGCACTTATGACATGCATGAAGCTTTTACGTACGAATGAAGACTCGGCACTCCAAAACGTACCGTTTGATGCATGTGGATCTATTCTATGTGTGAAAACTAATGGCCGCAGTGTGAATATGGTTTCGGAATAAGACCATAACACTTGCAGGAAACATAGTAAAACACCTGGAGGTCACTTAAGAGATTACCTATCGGCGCTAAGCTTTTACAACGGAGTGACAATGAGTGTTTCGCAGGATGCTGAGGTCTGCGAAGAGCAAGTTGAAAACGATTGACTTACGATTGTGATTCTGCCGAGGCCCTCCGTGAACTCTGAAGGTTTGTTCGGGTCCGTCGGATATAGCGCAGTGGGCGTTCGTTCAGCATGGCGGAACAACTGGGCAAAGTATTTCAAGTCAAGTAATAGTCAGGCTTAACACTTATAATAGTACGATTTCATTCCATTTTACACATTACTGTGACTGAAACTTACTAAGCCATCTTTTTCCTTCGTTTAGAATGTTCAGGAACTTTGTTATCTATGTCTTTTATTAGCTACGAACTAAAACAATTATAATCGCTACGTAAGCGAAACTTACCACGTGAATCTGTCTTAGGCTCTCGCTATTTCGTAGGGTTTCTTTAAAGCCTTCTGAAATCGAGCGCAAGTCCATACTCTGTACTATAGACGCTGCCATCAAAAAAACACCTATTGAAATAGAGCTGTGTAATTATCAAGCCGGGAAAAAATCAGTTAGAACCAGCAAATAAAGTTTCAAACAAAGGAGCCTGAGGGCTGATGTCATGGTAATCCAGAAGTAACGTATTATATTTTTGGGCTAAATATGCCACATTTCGAAGATTGATTGCGTTTTCCTAGATCAGAACTAAATTATATCTTTAGTAAACGAGTCACCTTGTTATATGGCTCGAATACCGTGTCCATCTGATCAACGAATTAATCAGGACATGTCATCGGTTAGAGGTTCGAGTATCTCATTTTCTGCACCCCCACCGATACGCTTGGTGTTTTCAGCCGGCCAATCAGCTCAACAACACAGCCGAAGAGATCGTAACAACTATATATGTTCATAGCGTATACTCGAAACTAGGCAAACGAATGATTTGTATATTCTTATGCGTGTAAAATGATCAAACTCATAATGGTCTGAATACTGCGTTATGTCGATCAGCTGTAAACCGTATGCGTCGGATGAGGATTTAAAGCAGTCCAGTTTGGTCCGTATTATCGCGTTTGTCTATGGAAACACTAGCTAGATCGTACGTTTTACCTCATTTTGTAGAACGTGCTGTAGTAATCAGCTGCCAGCGGCTATGGCTACCATTGGCGCGTATGGCCGATAATGACTTATAGGGGACCGAGTGCATCCTGAGATCGCCCAGCAGGAATCATCTACTGGTGTCGTTGATAAAAGCCTTTCCATTAGAGAGGTGGCGAGTGAATCTGGAATGAGCGAGTCTGCATGGCGGAAGCAGCAGCTCAATACTGGAAGAGTTCCAGCTGCTGGTGCTCTAAACGAGCCTAGATTAGCGTGTGTCCGTGATTGTTGTATGTTTAACGTATACCAGAAAGCCGCAGTAGCTCGGCCAATACACGCAGAGATCATGCAGCACCACACTCAAAGCAAGGCCGACTGCGTACGAGCTTCGTGATTACGTGGATAAAAAAAAAATGAATAATACCTGCAACTTTCGACTACAAGAATCCCTATATTTAAATAACAAAACAAAAGCTAGGATCACTATCACTGCATTTTTTCCTTGTACTAGCCTTAATTTAGGCTACATGGAACCGCGCGAACGAAGCTGACGGTTTAGCCGGCCGCAACTGAGACAAACCACCCGCGTATCGAAATTCATGCGTAGACAACTAGGCATTAGATACATTTAACAAGCCAATTAAACACTAAGTTTTACGATCTGTATTGGCGTGATGCACTATTTTAGACCGGTAGCACTCTTCCAGCACAGAACGAAGCCCTTCCACGCTACCTCGCATATCCCAAGGTTCAGTGAACAGATTCGTTTGTGGGGCGTATTTAAATCAAATTATGACCAAATTATTATTTTTTTAATCGTGTATATATACGTATATATATATATATATATATATATATATATATATATATATATATAAAGTGTAAGATCAGTGTTGCCGTAAGTTGTCGTAGTACTTTGTAGTACTGCAAAGATGTTCACTAACCCGGGGGCAATATTGCTTAGCCGACACCTTACCGCGTCACCTGCAATGCTAGATATCGTTCCGAATAATTCACCATAGGTCCATTGTGGAATTACGGCGGCTTCCATAGGCGTTTCATGCACGGGAAGCCGAAATGACGTTCGAATATACCAAGTCGACAGCTAACGGTAAACATTTGGCAGATCCTGATGTGGAAGCCATGAGTGGCATTTGCAATATCTGCTTTGAGATGGCTGTAGTTCGTTCGAGTACTGCCATCATCAGTCACTCAAGTGTAAACCCTTTTTTATTTAACGGGTTGTAGTTAGGACCGGCTATAGTTGGATTTTAAACGTGTACAAGCAGTTCCCACCTATCCACGATGCATTGCAGGTTGGCGAATTAGACAATTTAAGGAAGTACACACATCTCTGACATGATCCTTCGTGACAATATCTTGCTTTGCTAAATATACATCTTTAATCGTTATATTATTATGTAATATGTGTATAATAATGGTGGGCTTCCTTTCTGAAGAGATTCGCTTTCTTCTTTATTCTACAGGTACATAAACCAATTGTTCATTCCCAAGTGATTGATTTGCTAGAGACGGTTACGGTCCACTTAACAAGCTACATTTTGTTTATTACGTTCTGAATTACAAAACAAACTTTAATTGTACTTTTTATATATAGTATAGAATTATTATTGGGAAGCTATTCACAAATAGACGACATTTGGGGAATCATCCTCTAAGTAGTACTAACTTTGAAATTTGAGAGAAATAACAGAAAATATCGGGCAAATTCTTTTCGGTTTTTCTCATAAAATATTTGCTCACATCTCAAAAAAAAAAAGCCAGGAAGTAACAATAGGACACGCATGATCGAAATCGTCGGTCGGCTCTTGACAGCGCCACGCTAGATTTATACCTAGGCCACCATTTATCCCTAACACGGCACCCACTGCGCTATGACGGGTACTTGTCGCTGAGTTTTTCTCTAACCAATGTTACTACGAACATCTTAAGGTGATTCTCTTCCGTCTCGTTTTTTTCCAAAGGTGTCATCAGGCTTTGTCTCGTGTCTATTCTATATTCAAACACATTTTATTTGATCTGTGTAAAGGCCAGCGACTAATTATATCTATAACGTCGAACTTCTCCAGAACAAAACTTGAGTACGGTTTGCCATGCACGATGATCTAGGCACACCAGTTTACGTAACATAGTTTTCCCATTGATCATATATAGGTCGCCGTCGACCTACTGGCGCTTTCAGACCAGAAATGACCGGGTGGACAATGCGAAACATTGTCTCATCTTCTTATTCAAACAGCAATCTCACTTTCGAGGAACAAACCGAAGCCAACAACTGATTTTGGCCACTAAAAAGTACCCTTTCCTCTAAAATCCCTATTTAACTTGAATGACACCCGATCAACTTACGGTCGTCTACAACTAGGGACCTTATAACAATGATCGCTCGGTTTGTAAAGTTGAAAAGTTCATCCCCACCAAGTTCCCCCAATCAGTGCTGGAGAACTTTATAGTATTACAGTTTGACAACTAACTGCCGCAGCAAACAAGGAAAACAGTACACGACAAAAAAAAGCTAATCGGCTCAATCAGTATTCAGTAGTCGGGGGCCGACTAAGACATGACGGGAGGCATGATTATTAGGTAACCGCAAGATATTCCGTAGTAATTATGGATATCAGTTGAACTTAATCGATTATAGTTAGTTAGTTGGTTAATTAGACACCGAAAAACATACTTACCATAAACAAATACGATGCTCGCAATCATTCGAATGTTCGTCCTCCAGCTACACGCCCTTTCACTAAGGTACACAAGATCCGCCATTCTCACAACAGGTAAAAGGGGTCAAAAATGACTCAGCCAGCGTATGTAGTTCCAACTGAATGTTGGCAAAGCAGACGATCAGCACATCACAACCATTTTTGTCAAATATCCTTATCGAAAACACCCTTTTGCCTTTAGCTAGACTAACATCTACCGTTCGAAGCTGGTGCGCGCATCCAGCCATCTAGCAATATGCTTTTTCTAGAACCCGTGCCCACTGCGGATATTGCCACCTAGAAAGCGAAACAACTTACCATATAGAATTCACGAATGGTCACTCATTTGTTCCGCTATAGAA